GCAGAAGCACAGGGCCAAGTTAGTCAGAAGAGAATGACGCTTGTCGCTGACTTTACCAGAAACAAAACCATTTCTGGGATTCAGCCTGTTTCACAATGAAGAACGCAAAGCATGCATGTGAGACACTGATGATAACCATACACCCTTGCAATATTGCCGACTCGTACTCCTGTGAATTTGCATCATATCCAGGGCTTGCAAACCTGCCGATACATCGAACCCACAGGTCTGCCCCTCCTCTTCTGACATTGGGACTGCAATTGATGTCTCCGTGCACTCCTCCTCAAAGCTTACGTGCTTTATTTAAGTGTTCAGGCTGTCGTCTAAGCTCAAAACGCTATTAAGCTCGACACACGACACAGCTGCTATGCGTCACATGTACACAGCCACACAACTAGATCGAGACAAAGCCGCCTGTGGTGGGAAAAAACTGCTCGCTGTTAAACGCACTATGTCTTTGTCCAATTATTAAACTTATACTACTACAAACAGTCATGCCGTATTCAGTATCATATGAGCACAAGTCATACTAAAGAATTACAAGTCTATAGCTGTTATCAAATCATAAATGTGTAAGTATCTATCTGTAAATTCAAACACTATGTGTGTATCCTTTGCATGGTTCAAGTTTCATCTGAACATATAATATAGTGATATGCTGTGAATATATACATATATATATATATATATTGCAATGCGTGACACATTGTTAAACAATATTTTTCTGAGTAGTGGTTGTACATTTACACCAAGGCCAATAGGCTCGGAAGCAGAACTGGAGGAAGTCGGACCATGGATGTCAGCTGCTATCCTTGCCCGCGTTGTCACAAACATCTCACTTGACAACGCTCAGTCTGACAAGCTTTCAGTTGATAATGTATTCTTGTCGTGTTGGGCAACCTGTGCAGGATTGATCCCAAACATATTGCAAACTAGGACCATCCCTACGCAGTCAATTGGAACAAGGTAGCAAAGCTGCAAGTGTTTTCGCAAGGATAGCCTCAGAATGACAGTGGGCCCATCGACCGATTGCAGTGACACATATATATATATATACATAATCGATATATTTCTTTCCGAAGTGGTTTCGGATGGAATATGCTGCAACTCATGCAGAAAATACAGACCAAGGAAGGACAAGCCCAGCCAAGAATTGTTGAGATGGACTTGTGTTCCTCTTATGCTGTCCTTGGTCTGGCTGCCTGGCCGCATTGGGCCGAGAAAAAGTCCCCTTTCTGGCTTTGCCAGCTGAGCAGCGCTCAAAACTTATGGACTTTTTGTTCTACTACGTTCTACCAACATGGCCGTAAAGGATGAGTTGAAGGACACGCTGATTTCAACTCCTACGTATTTCAACCAGGTAGTAGAACCTCCAACTAAAAAGGCCAACGGGGTTTTGGGCGCTGCTTTGGGAATCAAAGAGCATTTGTTGCACTTTCTGGCGGCTTCTTGGCTGCCTTCTTCTTTTTGGGCTTTGGGGCATCGCGGCTCTCAGCCCGGGGTACCTCAGAGGGTGAAAGGTTCTCAGAGGCTGTGGGCTCACTGCCTGGCGATGAAACTGGCTTGGACTGTGGTCCGAAACCGGGGCTGGGCCCTGGACCCAAGCTTGGCCCTCGTGGCCCAAAGCTTGGCCCTGGCCCTGGCCCCAAGCTCGGTCCTGGGCTTGGTGTTGGGCTTGGCCCTGGGCTTTGTCCTGGGCTGGGGCCTGGTCTTGGCCCTGGGCTGGGGCCTGGGCTGGGGCCTGGGCTGGGGCCTAAAAGACCCGGACTTGGCCCTGGACCGCGTGGCCCCGGCCCACCTGGGTTCGGCCCAAAAGCTGCGCCTGGGCCAGGCGCGCGAGGTCCTGGACCGCTCGGACCCAGCCCGGGGCTTGGCCCAAAATGTCGGCCCAGGCCTTGTGCCGGCGAAGGGCCGGGGGATGGACCAGGCGATGGGCCAGGCGATGGACCAGGGGATGGACCAGGTGTTAAACCAGGCGAAGGACCAGGCGATGGACCTGGCGATGGACCAGGGGATGGACCTGGCGGACCTCGAGGGCTGTCACCCGAACCCATCTTGGGGCCGAGCAAACTCCCAGGAGAAGGCCCGGGTTGAGGCTGACTGGGCCTCGGCCCCGGCATTTCTGGATGCGGCACTGAGCCAAAGCTGGGGATCCGCGATGGCTCCACCAAGCCAGGGATGAGCACAGAGAATGTCTTCGGGGCCGGCAGGGGCACAGAGGCTTCCGGGGGATCCTCCGGCATTTGCGGGCTGGGCGCCGGCATGAAGTTTTGAAGTGGGGGGCCTCTGTTCTGTGGTGTTCCTGGAGCCGTCCGTGGTGTTCCTGGAGCCGTCCGTGGTGTTCCTGGAGCCGTCCACGTCCGTGGCGTTGCAGGAGCCGAGCGCGGCTGGCTTGGGGAGACCACCCTCGGCTTGCTGGCCGGCCTGGGTGACATGGTTGCATCCTCCAGGGTGTCCTGGCCCGCATCCCCACCAAGCACGCGGAGTACCAACCGGATGTTCATTCACAGTTGGCTACCCAGGAAGTCTACCCCTCACCCACCTAACAAAGTATACCTAACAGGGTAAAGCAAGGTCTACCCATCAGCCAGCCATGCTCAGTACTTCATCCTGACCCCATACTTTTCAACCCCTGTGTATTCATAGGGGGGGTGTTCCCCTCCAAAAGTGATGAACCCCCACTAAACCCAGGGACACCCCCATATTAATAAACAGGGGTTGATTGGTATGAAAAACACCAACAACTCTTCCCTCCTCTGTGGAGGACATCTTCCAGGAAAAGTCGCGAATCACCTCCTCGACCTCCTCATCCAGCAACCGCCGCGTCTGCACTTGCAAGCGTGGCTTTGGCCTCCCAAGCGCGCGGAGAACTTCAGGGGAGGGCGCAGCTAAATTTCAAGGTGCCAGGGCTCAATGACTCAGAGCCTCAAGAAACACACATTGCAGGGCTCATGTGTTTCTTCTTTTTTTGTGTGTGGCCAACATAGAAGTCGAAGGAGCTGCGAAGCATGGCAGCAACACCTGCCCACCACCGCCAGCATGCTCAAGCCATTCCTCAGCCCAATCTCAGGCCTTCTCCCCAGCATCACCAAGGGTTTCTTGGGCATAAAGCAGCACCCGGGTCCCAACAACTGCTTTTTGGTTACCGTAGGGGGTTTGGTTGGTTGAAAAAGCCGTTGGGTGAAAAGCAAACATGGGGATAGTGCAAAAAGCGTTCCCTTGATTTTGGACCGACCCAAACATAACGGGTACCCTGAGTCCCTGAGCCCATCATTGTTTACCCTCACAGTGGGTTCAAGGCAGGGCTGTGGGACATGACCACTTCTGTGATACAACAAAAAGGCGTCGCAAAGACTACCTTCCCACAGAAAGGGGGAGATTCCCTTGTATCACAGAAGTGGGGATAAACCTCCTGATCCCACCACCCTGGTTCAAGGGAACCACCCACCACCCAAATCATGCGCCCAGCAGAAGCAAACCAAGTCATTGCAAGAAGTCTGCTGAATCAAATCATATTCTTAATCCAATCATACCCAGAGACAAAGCAACTCATGGGCCCAGCAGACTGTCCTTGGGGTCGAGGCCCCGACCCGGTATTCGCTCGGCTGGGTGGCAGAGTGCCACCCTCACAGCTGAGCTTTGTGTCGCACACCATGTAGCCTCACTTGGTTCATCGAACAAACGACAGGTTCCACGCCTTCGACTTGGATGAGAAACGGGATGGTCTCACGCCCCCACCCGCCCCCAAATCTCCAAATCCCCAAATTTACTTTTCCGGGGTTCCCGCTAACCCCAGCAAGAGCTCACATAAACAGATGCATCCGAGTCTGATCTCCAAGGCAGCCACCACAAACGCGGCCTAGGACGCTGGAAAGGCAGCGGGTCACAGAAGCCAAGAAGCGACTTGCAGCTGTGCTACCGGCAGATTGACCAAACAGCTAACGCTGCACCTGACACCATGCTCAAACCTCACTGCTCAGCCCCACCGAGTTTGGTGCACTCTTTGACTCAAGACACTGTCAAACACACCCAGGTGCCGCATCGGCTTGGCCACCCCAGCCAATGCAACAAAAGTTTCAGAGGAAACCTTGCCCATGATACCATGGACCAAAACCACAGCGACGAATGGCACCTTCACTTAGGGGGTCTTTTGGCAGCACCCTAGACTGAGTGAAGCCCATCTCGGGCCCCGACTGCCCCTCACCAAGGGCACCACCAGCTCACCCTCAAAACCCACGGTTTCCTGGCAAGGAATCCAAGCTTCAGGTCGTGTGGGAAAACATCTGGACACCAAACATCGACCCGCCCACGCCGCACATGCAAATAAAGTAATTAAAACAGAGCAACCCGACACGACGCAAAACCAACCAACAAACACAGAACCGACAAACAACAAAGAAACAAACAAGCAAACAAAAACACAAACTAGAACCAACAAACTAACGAAAACAAACACACGTTGTTGCCTCGAGACTGGCGTTTGCGCAACTTCAAACAAGGCTTCACAGGAGGCCAAGCTCACGCTTGGGGACCGACAGTAGGGTGAGGGGCAATCGTGAGGCTTGTGGTGTGCTTTTCTCAGCCCAGTGCTCCTGGTGGGAAAGGGGTTGCCCTCTGTGCCAGGACCATTGTAGTGAACAAAATAGAAGATGACATGATGCCACGACAGGACTTGAGAGTGTCTTTTTGCTAGGGGTAGCCCTTGTGGTTTTTCGGGAAACCCAACCACTAGACGCCTCAAGCGCATCGCTCGGGTTCGGTTTCGCTTCCCATTGGAATCGCCTCAATGTCTTCATCCACCTTGAGCTGTGCCTCCCCGAGGAGCTCTGACTCCCGAGCACCTTGCGAGCAAATGCTGTGGATGGGGACGAAATCAACTCGTTCCGATCAGAAACCCTGGTTTCTGAAATTATTCCCCCGAAGAAATACCAACAAACCTTTGTAAGAATGGGCCAGTGGTGGCCCGTTCTTCTTGTGTTGCTTTTTGTTTGTTGTTTTTT